CCAGGAATAAACCAGGACTGGACCAGGACCAGGACTGAACCAGGACTAAACCAGGACTAAACCAGGACTAAAGGACCAGGACTAGGACCAGGACTAGAACCAGGACTAAACCAGGACTAAACCAGGAACCAGAACTAAACCAGGACTAAACCAGACTAAACCAGGACTAAACCAGGACTAGACCAGGACTAAACCAGGACTAAACCAGGACTAAACCAGGTCAGGACCCTGGTTGTGATCCTGGTTGTGATCCTGGTTGGTTCCACACTGACCTCGTCTTCTTTGGTTCCTCCCCAGAAGTTGGTTCCTCCGGCGTAGCTCTGGATGTTCAGGACGGCGATGCCCTGGAGCGACGGGAGCGGGATGGGCCGCCCGTCACACTGAGGAACACGACAGAGGAACAGACAGAACAGAGAACATCAAAGAGGAACAAGAGAACACGACAGAACACGAGACAGGAAACAGAACACAAGAGGAACACGAGGAACACGACAGAACACGACAGAACAGGAGAACATCACAAGAGAACACGACAGAACACGACAGAACAGAGAACAGTGACGACAGGAACACGATAGAACACGACAGAACAGGAGAACGTGACGACAGGAACACGACAGAACAGGAGAACATCACAAGAGGAACACGACAGAACACGACAGAACAGGAGAACATCACAAGAGGAACACGACAGAACACGACAGAACAGGAGAACGTCACAAGAGGAACACGACAGAACACGACAGAACAGGAGAATGTGACGACAGGAACATGATAGAACACGACAGAACAGGAGAACGTGACGACAGGAACACGACAGAACACGACAGAACAGGAGAACATCACAAGAGGAACACGACAGAACACGACAGAACAGGAGAACGTCACAAGAGGAACACGACAGAACACGACAGAACAGGAGAATGTGACGACAGGAACATGATAGAACACGACAGAACAGGAGAACGTGACGACAGGAACACGACAGAACAGGAGAACATCACAAGAGGAACACGACAGAACAGGAGAACGTCACAAGAGGAACACGACAGAACACGACAGAACAGGAGAACGTGATGAGAGGAACACGACAGAACACGACAGAACAGGAGAACGTCACAAGAGGAATATGACAGAACACGACAGAACAGGAGAACGTGACGACAGAACACGACAGAACAGGAGAACATCACAAGAGGAACACGACAGAACACGACAGAACAGGAGAACATCACAAGAGGAACACGACAGAACACGACAGAACAGGAGAACGTCACAAGAGGAACACGACAGAACACGACAGAACAGGAGAACGTCACAAGAGGAACACGACAGAACACGACAGAACAGGAGAATGTGACGACAGGAACATGATAGAACACGACAGAACAGGAGAACGTGACGACAGGAACACGACAGAACACGACAGAACAGGAGAACATCACAAGAGGAACACGACAGAACACGACAGAACAGGAGAACGTCACAAGAGGAACACGACAGAACACGACAGAAACAGAGAACGTCACAAGAGGAACACGACGACAGAACACGACAGAACAGGAGAACGTGACGACAGAACACGACAGAACACGACAGAACAGGAGAACGTGACGAGAGGAACACGACAGAACACGACAGAACAGGAGAACATCACGAGAGGAACACGACAGAACACGACAGAACAGGAGAACGTCACAAGAGGAATACGACAGAACACGACAGAACAGGAGAATGTGACGACAGGAACAGAAACACAGAACACGACAGAACAGGAGAACGTGACGACAGAACAGGACAGAACACGACAGAACAGGACAGAACAGGAGAACGTGATGAGAGGAACACGACAGAACACGACAGAACAGGAGAACGTCACAAGAGGAACACGACAGAACACGACAGAACAGGAGAACGTGACGAGAGGAATATGACAGAACAGGACAGAACAGAGGAGAACGTGACGACAGGAACACACGACAGAACAAGAGAACGTCACAAGAGGACAGAACACGACAGAACACGACAGAACACGACAGAACACGACAGAACAGGAGAACGTGACGAGAGGAACACGACAGAACACGACAGAACAAGAGAACGTGACGAGAGGAACACGACAGAACACGACAGAACAGGAGAACGTGACAAGAGGAACACGACAGAACACGACAGAACAGGAGAACGTCACAAGAGGAACACGACAGAACACGACAGAACAGGAGAACGTGACGAGAGGAACACGACAGAACAGGAGAACGTCACAAGAGGAACATGACAGAACACGACAGAACAGGAGAACGTGACGAGAGGAACATGTGAGGAACAGGAGAACGTGAGAGGAACAGAAGAGAAACAGGAGAACGTGAGAAGAACAGGAGGGGAACAGCAGCAGGTTACCTCCAGCAGGACCTTCTGCTCCAGATTCTTGTAGGTTCTGTGGAGCAGTTCTTTGGTTCCTAACACTCCGTACCACATCATGTTCTTGGTGCGGCTCCTG